ACTTCAGTAACAAGCGCAAGTCTCGACACACCGTTTACAGCGGTAAATGGAGTACACATCGTGGAGAGGTAGCTGAACCAGCACAAGAGTAAGTACGACCATTGAGGAGATCCGCGCAGATTGTGCAGCTTGAGAGCATTGTTTAATACCCACTGAACGGATGTGATAAAGACAACGAATTCAGTGAGAAACGCTTTGCCTGGTGGTCATTGGTGGATGACACAATGTACGAGACTTTGTTGAGGAATCTTGAAGAGCACAACGATAGTCTGCACAGGAGGTGTAGACGACTTCACTAGTAGAAGGTAGATTCCAAAGTGATCGATTGATTGGAGCTTCTTCGGCCTTCATCCTGATTTGTTTGCTGTCCACATGCAAACATGTAGGTCTTCAATCAAGCTGCTTGTCTGATCACTCTGATGTAAGTACAGGAAGAACTATGCCGTAACTTCTACGCCTGAAGTTCGGATTGAAACAGTGACCCTCAATACCACAAGAAGGTGCTCACATAATCAGTAACCCAACAAAGTTGGAGTGGCACGTGGTGACCAGAAACATCGTCGACTCTCGTTCACCCACTGGCGCACTTGAATGCACCGAATGTACCAGTGCTTCATTCTCGAGGTAGCCCGAATGGCGTGGACGCCATTCAAGGAGTTTTACGGTGACTGGAAGAAAGCAGGAAGGATGGCGCAATTCTTTTGAGACGTTGAAGGAAGAATGAGAAGTAAGTAAAAAACACAGATATTACTCTGCCCACGCAGCTAAGATGTCCACCTCCAATCATTGGTGCATCCGATCCAAAGACGCAACTACGGGATGGACCGTCAAAAAACGGACAGGATCAGTAGGTGCGGAGCACCCTACTGATCCAGCAACGTCAAGAGAATTTGTAGGCCTCTTGATGAAGGTTGCTCCCAACACACAAACGTTGTGCGTTGCTGCTCTAGGTAATGAGATCTCACTCATCACCTTGAAACTCGAAGTGACAAATAAGTTGTCCCTTCGAGCTCTAGTCGACTGTGGGGCGTCCAACAACTTTGTGCGACGCCAATCGCTGGAAGATGGTCACTTTAAGTTCAGTGAATGTGACACACCTCCTACGAGGATGACGGTACGTCTTGCGATAGGCGCATCCGTAACCGTCATGAAGCGTATAGTGAAGATCCAAAATACGCTGGAAGATACCCAATATGACGATGACTTTATCATATTGGATTTGGATGACAAATTTGATGTCATCCTTGGAATACCGTGGCCCAGAAGGTACGAACCACGGGTAAACTGGCAACATCGAACAGTAACGATGCCTGTCGCTTGGTCATCAGATGGTCATCTGATGAACGTTTTGGAGCGTTCACAAGCGTGTGGATGTACTACGAGTGAGTGCGATGGCCTCACTTGTGGTATGGTCGTTAGTACGACTTCACAAAACCTTATTGTACCAAACGGTTACACTTCGGAGCAAAGGTCCGGCGGCTGTGAGGAAACACAGGCTGCGCCGAAGGTCCACCACTTGACTAAGTCGAGTGGACCGGGACAAAGATGTATCCCTAGAGGGGAACATCTAGAAGAGAAACAATCGATCGCTCAGGTTAAGACAAACGATAATCCTAGATCGACTGGAGAGTCTTTCGTAGAGGATCTCGCTGTGGTTGCGCAACCCCAGCTAGAGGAAGTAAAGGGAATAAGTCCCAAGATTACAAATACGGCGGAAATAAGTTCCCCGAAACCCGCGGGAATAAGTCCCCGGGAAGACGAAGGAATAAGTCCTTCGAGGCCTGAGGGAATAAGTCCCCAGGAAATGACAGAGACATTGAATGTCATAGTCAATAACGGATCAAGTGCAGGCGCTTATACACTTGATCTGATTGCGCCTCCGAAGTTGACTTCGGAGATCACTCAGTTGCCAACGCTCGAACATAAAAGGTTCTTGCGTGATCTGCGTAGTGGCAAAGTCAAACAGATCTGCGTACTCGTCGCTGACGACGAGTGTGTAGCCGACATAAGGTCAGCAACAGTGTCTACTGAGAACGAGAGAGTTCTCAGTAGTTCATCAATGGACGAGAGTGTCCTAGATGAAAAGACACGAATTGAGCGATGTGACTCCCAATCGTGGGAATCGCTCAAGAAAAATCCTCTCTATGAAGATTTGGTTGAATTCAAGGATGTAATTCCTGAAACTGTTCCGTGCGAATTACCGAAGGATAAAGGTATTCGACACGAGGTCGAGCTTAAACCAGGCTCGAAGTACTGTGTCATGAAGCAGTGGCCACTGCCTCGTGAACAAGTACTTGCGATCGACAAGTTCTTTGCCGATCGTTTAGCTGCGGGCCATGTGAGGGAATCAACTTCCCCACATAGCTCTCCGACCTTCTGTGTGCGAAAAGCAACAGGAGGGTGGCGGATAGTGCACGCGTTCAACAAGTTAAATGCTGCAACGGTACCGGCTCAGACGCCGATACCGAGGAAGGACGTAATCATTGATGGTATGTCAAAGAGTACCATCTTTTTGTCCATGGATTTGATGGATGGCTTCTATCAAATCCTAATGCGGGAACGGGATATACCCTATACCGCAGTTAGCACGCCTAGCGGCATGCTCTAAGAATGGCTACTAATGCCACAAGGGCTTAGTAATGCCCCTGCCACGTTCAACAGATGTGTATCACATCTGTTGAGACCAGTACGAGAATTAGCACCGAGTTATTTCGATGACGTATTCATCCATAGTCGGGCTATGGATGGAAAGTCGGACGTTGAGGTTCACAGGTACCACGTCCGACAGGTTCTTACAATCATACGAAAGCATCAATTGTATGCAAACCTCAAGAAGTGTATATTTGCATCAAGCGAAATACCACTTCTTGGGTGCATCGTTGGTAAGAACGGTGTACGTCCTGATCCCGAAAAGATCAAGGCGATCACCGACTGGCCTGTGCCGGTTGATGTCAAAGGTCTTCGAAAATTCCTTGGGCTAGCGGCGTATTTGCATAAGTATTCACGCAATTACGCCGAGATGACTGTGCACCTCTCTCGTTTGTTGAAAAAAGAACGAGAGGTGGTTATGGAACGCTGAATGTCAACGCTCCTTTGAGGGTATCAAGCAGAGCTTGATACAATCCCCAGTCCTAGCAATAGCCGATCAGGACAGGCCATTTCATGTGGTCTGTGATGCCAGCGATTTCGCAATCGGCTGTGCATTAATGCAGTACGATCTTGAAGGCGTTGAACGCGTCGTCTGCTATCAGACGCGTCATCTGCAACCAGCTGAGCGGAACTATCCAGTGCATGACGAGGAACGCCTTGCCATGGAGTATGCACTCGCGAAGTTCAGAGTCTATCTATTAGGAGATAGACCCTTCATTGTTTACACAGACCATGCGTCGTTACGCACGGCAGTGAACAGCCCGCACATTTCACAACGAATGGCGCGGTGGTTGTCATTCTTTGCAGAATACAACTTTACGGTCGAGTACAAACCAGAACGACTTAATGTCGTCGCTGATGCACTCTCACGTCGTCCCAAATTTGAACCAGTCGTGAAACCCAACAGTGAGACAGCCACTGTTGCGGTCATGACGTCCACCATACCATCTTCAACGTGACATGACGGTGTGAGGCGGGCTTATGCCCAAGATGGTGAGATTGTGAAGTTGTTGACACATCTCTCACAGCCATCTCGAGAATCGTTGAAACGATTGTCGTCTGCGTATCGATCTGCATCAGATCGATACACTACTCGCAACGGTTCACTGTATTATACAGCCGTTCCTGGTGACACACCACGTGTTGTCATTCCAGATGATACTGATCTGCGTTTGCGGATCATGTTCGAGTATCACGATGCTCCTATAGGAGGACATCGTGGCCGGGAGAAAACCTGTCTCACGGTGAGTCGAGACTTTTACTGGCCCCGCCAGTATCAGTTTGTGCGAAAGTATGTTCGCGCATGCGAAGTCTGCCAACGAGTGAAGTCAAGTCCTTCACTGCGTGCACCTTTACAGCCTCTAACGGTTCCGGCTGAGTGCTAGGAATCCATCTCAATGGATTTCGTCTTCGGGTTACCCAAAGACGCACGCGGGAATACGGGTATCCTCGTATTAGTTGACAGATTCAGCAAAATGGTACACCTAGTGGCTGTACCAGAGACAATCACGGCAAGTGGCTGTGCTTGTGTCTTTATTGACACCATCTTCCGACTTCATGGGTTGCCCCGTGAACTCGTATCAGACAGAGATCCACGATTCACTGCTGATTTCTGGCGTTCCGTGTTCAAATCACTCGGAACGCGCTTGAAGATGTCTACATCTGATCATCCAGACTCAGATGGTCAGACGGAATGAGCCAATCGTGTCCTCGAAGAGATACTTCGAGGATACGTACACTCCTTTAAGAGTTGAAGTGAGATTTTGCCAATGGTAGAGTTTGCCATCAACAACTCGGTGCATGCATCCACGACACATACACCGTTTTACGTGAATGGCTTGCGCCATCCGCGTGTACCCACCTTACTAGAGTATAACTCTGGTTTAAGGGGTGGAAAGACTCGCGCGAGCAAAAACGATTTGGTTCACGCTCATCACGCTCTGACGAAGAGGTCATTGCGTTTGATGTCGATTTCGACAACATCGATATCGAAGAAGATGATGCCAGTGAGAGCGCGGAAGCCCTCACTGAAGAAAAGATTGATGTTGCTGCAGTGCACTGAAGCTAACGAGTCATCAGATGAGTTCATACTGGCTCGTGAAACGGTAGTCCTTTTTGTGCAAGACTCCATCGCCGAAGCGGTGGATAAGCAAAAGCGAAACGCTGACAAGAATGGAAGGGCAAACACTCTTTTATTTCATAAAGGTGACTTAGTCCTACTGTCTACGGTTAATCTACCAAAGCATGTAGTGACTAACTTGGGTAGCAGTAAACTACTACCCAAGTACATCGGCTCATTTCGTGTATTGCACCGCCTAGGCAATGCATACACGATCGAGTTACCACGTAAGATGCGAACGCATCCCACGTTTTACGTTGGTCGGCTTAAGCCGTACCATCAGTACGCTGCTTCTTCCGATGAAGAACGCCCTTGCGCTCAAGCATCTGGCAGAGAGCCTTGTGCTCCCGATGGTGGGCATCAACAAGGGTCTGAAGAGCAGTTATCTCATCCCGAGACCGATCGACAATCCCACGAGATACCCTTAGCTCGTCACGAAGAGATGTCAGAGATCTCTCGTTCTCAAGCTGAGCAAAGGAAAACTCAGCTCGATGCTCAAGGCAGTGTCCGCCATTTGGAGACGCCTATTCCGCTCATGCTCGAGGTCGTCGCGTAACGCAAGAGTTACGAGATCAAAGAAGCTCTCTAAGACAAACGCTCCCCCAAGATAGCTTGGAGAGCATCTCCCCTCCTCCTCCATCTCCTTTGAGGACTCTCGCGGTGGCCAGCGATATCTGATTGAGCAGCTGTTGAACCACCGCGACGTGAACGGACGTCGGACGAGTTGCCTCTTCCGGTGGCGCGGTTATCCCCCGTCCTGGGATTCTTGGGAGCCCCGCTCCCAATTGATGGTTGACGTACTGGGTCTGGTCGAGCAGTGCGATGCGGCACATCCTGTGCCGCAGAAGGACCGCCGGAGAAAGTCTTCCCGGCACGTTCGTAAAGGGATTTCAGGTTGTCAATCCCTTCGTACATCTCAGTAGAGATACGTACGCGCCACCACGGGCTAGTAAGGAGGTAGGCCTCCTTAGCTGCGCGCGCCGAGTTGTTTGCACAACAAAGGCACGGGTCTCCCCAGAAGAGACAGGGTAATTCTTTCTCCCTTGACAGACGATGCAGCTTATAGCGTGCACCTGTCGGGGTTCGCTTTTCAAACTTATCACGAGCTTTGATAAGGTTGTCGTTCCAAGCGTCACGACCTACATCCTCAAGGTTATGGATGTAGGCGTCCCACGCTTGAAGCAGTGAATGACTATCACGCATGTGATTCCCACTGTACCATCGATGTCTAAAGAAAGCATCGATGAAGATTTTATTCTCAGCGCGATAGTTTTTCGCACTGGGGTCAAGGTGATGGATCCTTGACGAATCGAACAATCGTGTTCGATAACGATCACTTGTCGTCGCCGACAAGTGATCCATGACGGATTTTGGAGGCATCCATGCCTTCTTTTCAGGAGCGAGACGCAACAAGTTACGGTCTCGATCTTCTTGCGTTGTGCCTAAAGAAGTACTGGTACCTTGTTGCGAAGTGGTGTAAATAGGAGAACCGACACCACTGTGAGCGCCCGAGTCTTGCGATCTCGAGCGCCTTCGCTTTGGCGATGGTTCATCGGATTCGTCAGATGAACTAAAGATGCTGCGACGCAAAGCGTCGTCCATGCCACGCTTGGCAGGCGGCTGGGATTCAATCGCCGTCGATACGGATCCGTCTTCCGTATCAGGAGAGTATGAGATACCGAGCTCATACTCTGTGAAGACTTGAGTGTCTTCATGACGAGCGTCTGCATCACCAGGTGATACAGACTGAGACGCTTCAGCAACCGATGAAACATCGGTTGCAGCGTTTTCTGCTTCGGCGTCCGCACAGAGATGTGCAGAAGTGCTCTTAGCGGCCTTGTTCGCGCACCGCACGGACTTTTTAACCATGCGATGAAACTGATGGACTGTGGACTCGGACCAACAAGTGCAAACCCTGTCCCAAATGATTTGGGACGAGTATCCATTTAGTCAATCAGTCACTAAAGTGACTGATGGTTAAGGGGGGGTGATGTAACGGCGGGGTGAATCGTTACATAACAATTTATAAGACATTGTTCATAGAGTATAACTATAAGAGTGATTTTCTCAGAATATTGTCATTAGGACAATTATTCTGTAGCACTTACGAGTAGTTCCTAATTGGTTGATATAGGCCATTGTATCAACCAACGAAGACGCGCCACGACAGACGCAAGCAATGAGTGGTGAGCAGATAGTTGATATACACATTTGTATTCAGACATAGTTAGATGAAGATAAATAGTGATTTATTGCAGACATTAACTAAACTAAACACAGTTCTACTTTTTACTTTAATCAAGTACTCGCTTCTCCTTAACGTCTTCCTCTGCACGTACCAGTGTACGTGAAGTTACGCGGCACCTCCTTATTCTGTCATCAGAATAAGCAGCTTGTACTGTCATCAGTACAAGCTTGAGGGTGCCCCTTTACATGACTCGTCAGCACAGTCATGAATGCATCCCACGCGACGTAAAGACCATCTCCCCTCTCTCTCTCTCTCTCTCTCTGGCTAAGGCTCTGCATAACTAACGCACTCTGTCTCTCCCCCCTCTCTCTCTTTGTCTTTCTCTGTCTCTGCCGCTCTCTTTTGTCCATTTGTCCAGCAAGTTTCGTCACGTGGAGAACACGCGACTCGCCCCTGCGTCCAGAGTCTTGACGCACTTGCCCGTGTCTATTCCAAGTGCCAGTTCTGAACGTCCCGCTCTTGCTGCGACATCCGCTCACTTGACATTTGTTCAGTAGGAAGATACTTATGGCGGCTCAATCCAAGTGGAAGCTCTGAGTGGGATTGACGCAGCTGAAACAGAGAGTCAGAAGTCTACAGAGACGCGGCCGCTGTCGTGCGCGCACTAAAGACGAGACGCGTGACGACAGATGTGGCTTTCTCGCGTTATCGGGAAGACCTGTTGCTCTCTGCTGGCAATGTTGTGGCGACGGTGAAGCTCTGGCGAGTGGGGTCACCGGGTGAGAGGATGGAGAGCTTGTGACGCCTGTGACGGTGTTTTCTCATGATACAGCGGGCAGTGTAGTAGGTATCATGCCGCATCCGACGGCTGAGTCGGTGTAGGCCACGTACTCGAGACGAGGAGTGCTGAGACTGTATGACGTGCATGCTTCGACGATGAGCTTAGAGAGAGCAGTGGGAAAAGGCGCTTCGTTGACGTCTGCGGACTGGACTTGGGATGGTCGAGCTGTGATAGCGGCAACGAATGACCCAGCTGTGAGGATGGTGGACACGCGTGAGCATCCGACGTCGACGGTCGAAGTACCAAAGGCACATTCAGGTACACGACCCGTAAGTGTTCTCTGGTGTGGACGGACGCAGCATTTCGTCACGTGTGGAAGCGATACGCTGATGCAGGACCGAGAGCTCAAGTTGTGGGACCCTCGACGCATGGACAAGTGCTTACATCGAGAAAGAGTGGATGCAGGAGGTAGTGGCCAGTTATTTCCGCTCTACGATCCTTATATGGACCTCTTGTTTGCGCTTGGCAAGAGAAGTTGCAGTGCCAGAATGCTTGAGGTAGACGTGACGCGCGTCCCTTATGTGCATGCACTAAACTGCCGCACATCGCGTGACTCGACACTTGCAGCGCTTGCAGCGACGCTTCTGTCCAAGTCAGTGTGTGATACGAATGTGTGTGAAGCTGCCCGCGTGTTGAATCTCAGTACGAGCAAAACGAGTGGTGGCGTGACCTGCATAGTCATCAGCTACCGAGTTCCTCGCTACGAGGCGACGTATACGTTCCAAAGCGACTTGTATCCCGACACGTTGTCAAAAGAAGCTGCAATAAAGTCCGAGGCGTGGATACGGGGGCAAAATACTGATCCTTAGCTGGGGAGACCGTGACACAAACGGTAAAGGGTGCCGACGATGTGTTTAAAAATGTGTTTGGTCGCCTCCATTGCGTATTTTTCCCCTTCTTTGGCCGCTTGCGAGACCCCCAGGACTTGGACTGTGCGACCGCCGCAACGGCGACACGTGGCGCGGAGTACGCCTCTTTTTTGAGAACAAACAAGAGGTCCTTATAAGGATCGTAGAGCGGAAATAACTGGCCACTACCTCCTGCATCCACTCTTTCTCGATGTAAGCACTTGGCCATGTGTCGAGGGCCCCACAACTTGAGCTCTCGGTCCTGCATCAGCGTATCGCTTCCACACGTGACGAAATGCTGCGTCCGTCCACACCAGAGAACACTTACGGGTCGTGTACCTGAATGTGCCTTTGGTACTTCGACCGTCGACGTCGGATGCTCACGCGTGTCCACCATCCTCACAGCTGGGTCATTCGTTGCCGCTATCACAGCTCGACCATCCCAAGTCCAGTCCGCAGACGTCAACGAAGCGCCTTTTCCCACTGCTCTCTCTAAGCTCATCGTCGAAGCATGCACGTCATACAGTCTCAGCACTCCTCGTCTCGAGTACGTGGCCTACACCGACTCAGCCGTCGGATGCGGCATGATACCTACTACACTGCCCGCTGTATCATGAGAAAACACCGTCACAGGCGTCACAAGCTCTCCATCCTCTCACCCGGTGACCCCACTCGCCAGAGCTTCACCGTCGCCACAACATTGCCAGCAGAGAGCAACAGGTCTTCCCGATAACGCGAGAAAGCCACATCTGTCGTCACGCGTCTCGTCTTTAGTGCGCGCACGACAGCGGCCGCGTCTCTGTAGACTTCTGACTCTCTGTTTCAGCTGCGTCAATCCCACTCAGAGCTTCCACTTGGATTGAGCCGCCATAAGTATCTTCCTACTGAACAAATGTCAAGTGAGCGGATGTCGCAGCAAGAGCGGGACGTTCAGAACTGGCACTTGGAATAGACACGGGCAAGTGCGTCAAGACTCTGGACGCAGGGGCGAGTCGCGTGTTCTCCACGTGACGAAACTTGCTGGACAAATGGACAAAAGAGAGCGGCAGAGACAGAGAAAGACAAAGAGAGAGGGGGGGAGAGACAGAGTGCGTTAGTTATGCAGAGCCTTAGTGAGAGAGAGAGAGAGAGAGAGAGAGAGAGAGAGAGAGAGAGAGAGAGAGAGAGAGAGAGAGAGAGAGAGGGGAGATGGTCTTTACGTCGCGTGGGACGCATTCATGACTGTGCTGACGAGTCAGTTGCTGTGGTGGACACTAAATACGACCTGCTTGTGACGACGCTAAACGTTGGTTAAGCGACGTTTGTTTATATTTCATTTAAACAAACGGCTAGAGATGCTGCGTCGGGCATGGCAGCGAGCAGGCATGTGGCAGTCACCCGACGCAGTTCTATTGTTGGAAGAAGAGGCATGGCACCTGACGGAAAGGGTGAAGAAGCAGTGCGGGAGAGAGACAGTAGAGAAGCTGTGCAGGAGAGGGACAGTTGAGAAGCTGTGCAATAGAGAGACAGCAAAGACAGCGTGCAGTTTGCAGCTTGCAGAACTCCTGAGATAGTGAAGGGCTCCTGTACGCAGTGTGTAGTGAGATCAGAAGTAGATTTTGTGAGAATCTTAACTACACAATACAGTCTGTAAAACTGTATTGTGTAGTTAAGATTCTCACAAAATCTACTTCTACATCGACTCGTTTCTCCCTTTTCTAGCGAATACAAAGCCAAAAGGTTGCGGTCCTAAGTAGGGGCGTCGAGAATGCGAGCGCCGTCCAACGCGCAGCGGCGGCATCGATGGCGAGGCGTCGCAATACGCAAGAGGTCGCGCAGACACGTCCGGCTGGATCGGGCGGCAACAGCGGAGAATACATGCGAACCGAGTTCGCGCTTGTCATGGAACAACAAGCTGCGATGGTAGCACGACTCGAGGAGCTTGAGAGAGAACAACTGACTCTGCTGGCACCGACAGGAACAACGTTTGGTCCAGTCAGGACCGAGACAAGAGCCCTGGTGCCAACGACGAGAGCAGCAGAAACGTTCAGATCCCCGTTCATGCAAATGACGCATGTGAGACCCATGGAGGTTGACGACCTCCACGACGTCTTTAAGACTGAGTCCATAGTACGCAGCGCGAGCGTCGGGACGGAAAGAAGAGCGCTGCGACAAGTGCAGCAGCAGCAGCACTTCCGAAAAATTGCGGGCGCGCGCGAAGGCCTGCGAGTCGCCGCAGAAGCCCAAGGCATGCAGCTGCGAGCAGTGGCAGAAGCACAAGAGACACAGCAAGCAAAGCAGCGAGCTGATATTCAAGCTGTGCACGGACAACTACAGCAGGTCGAACAACACCTGCTGAGCGAAGCAGAGCTCCAGAGGCAACAAAGAGAACCGCTGGCGGCGCAGCTGGAAGCTCAATAGCTCGAAGTCGCGCAATTTTAACCACGTCTGCAATCGTAGTGAGAAGCGCTTGCGCTACAACACAACCATCAGACCCGCGCAGCTCAAGAGAGAGAAAAGATTCTCTTTCGGCACAAGGAAGATGTCTTACACCGAGAAGAACCGGCAACGCGAGCGAGAGATCGAGATTGCCGAGCAAGTGAGAGCGGCAGGAGAAGCGCATCGCGCACGTGAAATGGCGCAAGCGGATCAAGCGCGGCGCATGAAAGAGAAGCAGCAGATGCGCGAGGCGAGGCTTGGAGAAGAAGCCAGACGTGTCAGCCTGGACCAAGCAAATGCGGGTCGCGTGGCAGCAAGCGCAGCACAACGCTGCAGACGTCGAGCTTCGCGTGGGTGAGGCGAAAGAACGAGCTAATATGAGAGCGACGCACGAAGCCATAGCATGCGAGACTGCGGCACGCGAAGTAATTGAACGCGAAGCAGTGAAGATTGATGAGATGAAACGCGCAGCCGCTCAAGCGACTCTGCAGCAGCCAGGCGTATTTGTGCTGACTGGAGGAGCGCTCGTCAGCGGATCGACTACTGTGCGATTGGCTAAGGATGCAAGGCTCTACTTTCGCGTGTTCATCGGCAAGGAGCTTCACAAGGGCGTGGGCGGCGGGTCCAAGCACTGGGGCCGCGCGTTAAGGGAAGAGCTCGAAGGCTTAAGAGGCGTGCGGCTACGCGTGGCCAGAGAAGTGTAAAATCTGCAAGCTTTGCTCGTGTCTCCGAGGAGAGGCTGAAGAGTTCTTCCATGGAATCAGGGACGAGTGGTGAGACACGGAAAGAATGCTTTCCTACGCGATGAAGGAGATACAATCGGCCTTCTTGCGCAGCTTCACCAGCGCACAAGTTTCCGAGTTCTCTAACAAGCTTTAAAGCAGCAGCAACACCTAGTATGCACACTACCTCTACCTTATGGCGGTGAGGCACGCTTCGGGTGCGTCGGCGTCGTTTTTACCGGAAAGCCTCGTTATGCATGCCAGCCTAGAGCTGCAACCTGTCCTCGCAAGCCAGTACGACCGAAAGCGCACCGAGTTTGTGATTCACGCGCTTGAAATCATACCGTGGGCGCAAACTTATGAGGACAATGAGAAACGGGCGCCTCGGTCAGTTAAAGCTGCAGTGGCAGCAGCTACCGCCACCGCACGCACAGACACCAGGGTTTGCAACATCTGTAGCACAGTCGGGCACATCGCGCGCACGTGTCCCAGTCGTCCAAAGAACGAGGACGATGAAGAGACGCCTCGATGGGCGCTTGCTGGAATCGTAGCAGGTTGCATAACGGAGGAGGACTCCATTGTCGACTCCGGCGCCAGCGCCCACCTCGTCAAACACAGCAGCATGCTGTATGATTGGGAGGAGTGCGACGACCTCAATAGCGTGACGCTGCCTGACAAAGGTACGCTGCGGGTGACGCGACGCGGCAAGCGCGACTGCGCGAAAAGGTTGACGGCGAGACGCACTGGATTGAGCTGCGAAATTTCAACCACGCGCCGAAGATGGCCATTAACCTCATCTCCCTCGGCACACTCATGCTACAGGGCTGCAACCTCGCCGGCAAGAACAACAGGCACGCAGTGATGATCGACGACGACGTCGTGATGTACTTCCACCTCTAACAGAAGGTCCTTTTCGTCGACCATGGGCACGTGAAGCAACGAGCAATCGGGTACAAGGACGATATCATGCACGCGATCGGCGAGTCGCAGCCTCGAGAGGCAACAGTGCAGACAGGAAGCTTGATGAGCTTCCACAGGCGCTTTGGACACCTTAATTACAAAGATATTAAGCGACTCGTCGCGAATCCAGCAAACGGGCTCGAGCTCACAGACAAAGTGAGGGAGAATTGCTTGATATGCTCCGAGGACAAACAGTTTAAGTCGGCACATCCAAAGAAGAATAGCGGTCTTAACGAGCCGATTGACGTGGTCGGTGGGGTCATTTGCAGTGACCTTATAGGCCCCATGACGCCCATTTACAAGCGGATAAACCGACACTTGATTGATTTTATCGACCACAAATCCAACTACGTGCGTGTGGTCGTCGCAAAGTCCAAGGACGAAGCCGCACGAAAGTTCCAGCGCTTAGTGGTCGTTTTTGAAAGACAATTAAACGTGCGAGTTTACATGATGCGGACGGAAGGAGGAGGCGAGTACCGAAACCTCAATCTCTTCCGTCAGCAGACGGGCATAGGCAGGTAAATCACTGAGCGCAACACGTCGGCATCGAACGGAAAGGCCGAGAAAATGCACCGGACCGTCGTGAATACGGTTCGGTGCATGCTCTTCGGTTGTGGCTTTCCGCTTAGCTACTGGGGATACGCCACAGAATACGCGGCGTACGTGGTGAAAAGGATGCCGAATCGCGCCGATCCAGGCCGCAAATCGCCATTGGAGCTGCTCAAGAAGAAGCCAGTGATTGTCGTGGACATGGTGGTGTTCGGCTCGCTTTGCAAAGTGTACCAGAACCCATAAACGTATCTCTGGAAAAGCGTGGAGCGCCAGGGATGTTTGTCGAAATAAACGAAAAAACCAAGGGGCTCAAGGTACTGATTCCCAGAAAGAAGGTTGTGGTGGCCACTCGACACGTGTACCTGATCGAATCCCGGCCGATTGACTCCAACAAGCAACTGAGGCAGGCGATCGAGTCAGAAGCTGACGACGAGCTCTAACATCTAGCAGATGTACGAGAAGGAAGTAGACGACGGGAGGAGTCGAACGGCGAGCGCTCAGGCAAACGAGCTGCCGCACGAACCGCGTCGAAACCGACATCGACGGCTCTGACGCAGAAACAAACGCGCGCAAAACGCGACAAGAATTTAAAGTCGAAGTCTTAAGCGAACTGACAAGCAAAGGCCTAGGACCACACAGGCGTAGAGGAAAAAGCAATAGATGCAGATGATGACGATAGCAAAACTCTTCCACGCAGGTCTGGACGTGTGAGAAAGAAGTCGGCTAAGCAGAAGGCAGCCAACAATGCATAAGATCTACTGCGACGCGGACTGCGCGAGCCAGTTTCTGCAGCGACGCTGTTTCAATCATTTGTGGTGTCCGCATTAGGGGCGGGGGAGGAGCAGTACACAAACTTGCCCGACCCGAAGACGTACAAGGCGTCGCGCGCACTTCCAGACGCGCACCTCTCGGCCCAGGCGATGGACGACAAGATCGCCTTGCTGGAAAAAAATAACACATGGCAGGTGATTAAACGCGAGAAGCACATGCACGTGATCCGCAACAAGTGGGTTTTCAAAAAGAAGATGAACGGCAGCGGGTCCATCGAACGCTACAAGGCAAGCCTTGTAGCAGGAGGCGACGATCAAGTGCTTGGACGAGACTACAACCCAACATTTACATCTGTCTTGGACATGACTGGCGGCAAGATTATTCTCGCGGTTGTCCGGATCTGGAACGTGCGCGCGACACTTTGACATCCCCAGCGCCTACCGAAGGCCTCCACGGAGATCAAGATTTGAAAGCGCGTTTTTAGAAGGATGACGATAAGTGACGATCAGCTGCGGAAGTTTTACGTGGCGAAAGCCGGTGAAATGCGCCTACGGCTCATCAAAAGACGTTAAGGGCTCGAGCAGGCCGGCCGAATGTGGAACCAATTACTTGAACAAACGATTAATGACGCCGGCTTCTCACCGCCAGCCACGGAAGTATGTGTATACGTGAAGACAACAGCCGAATGAACGACAGTTGTGGAAGTGTATGTCGACGACCTGCTTGCAACCGCGACGAGCGACGAGCCGCTTGACGCCTTTGGCGCGGCGATGCAGATCCTAAAGCTCAAGTGCCTTGGGAGCATTAATATTGTTTTGGGCATGCGCATCGAGTACGAAGACTTGCACGGGTACACCGTCGACCATGAGCAAATTAACACTAAACTGCTTCACAAGAACTATCTTAAGAAGGTGATCGTAGTGCGCTCACCAGTAAGCGACGAAGTGTCGATCGAGTCAGAGAGCACCGACGCGCAGCCGCTTCCCGCGCGGGGAGCCGGCACTGCAGAACGACCGACAATTAAAAGTTTTTCCAGAGCCTTTTCGGGAGTCTGCTGTGGGTCGCACGATGCAGTCGACTTGACATCACATACGCGATTTACTGCGCGACACGCCGCAGCCACGCGACCAGCGACAACGACATGAAGCTCGCGCGTCGAGTGATGATGTACCTCCCTAGACGGCTGCACCGAATCTGCACATGGGCGGCGCGTCGAGTGCAAATGAAGTGAAACTCACTAGATACACCGACGCGGATTACGCGGCCGACAAGGCCACGCGAAAGTCGATCAGCGGTTCGGTGCTGCTCGTCGACGGGATGCCCGTTGGATGGCAAGTCAAGCAACCTTCCTCAGTCGCGCTATCAAATGCGGAAGCCGAGTTCGTAGTAGCAGCTGTTGTTGCGAAGGAGCTCCTGTGCGTAAAGAATCTACTGCGTAAGATGAACGTGAGTGTGAAGTTGCCAAAACAGATGATAATGGACAATTAAGCTGCTAGTCAACGAAGCCGCGTCGAGCGCACAAAAGCACGTCGAAGTGAAAATGAAGCTCGTATGCAACACGAGCTCCAAAGGCATCGTGAAGTCCGAGTAAATCGCGACCAACGAGATGATCGCGGATCTATTGACGGAAAATGTCCCGGCGCCAAGAGTCGCCAACCTACGCGATATTAGGGGATTGCGTTAAGTGCGGTGCCGCGGGAGGAGTGTTGGAAGACGAGAAACGGCACCTGACGGAAAGGGTGGAGAAGCTGTGCGGGAGAGAGACAGTAGAGAAGCTGTGCGGGATAGAGTCAGCGAAGACAGATAGTGAGAGAGAGATATTTAATGACGATCTAATAACATTTGATCATATGTACATAATAACTGAAAACGTTTGAGCCAGGTAGTCAAGTCCGGATCCGGAAGAGATAATGTTTGTGACTCATAGAAGCCCCGATGTCTTGGGGTGCTTGGGTTATAATTTAGATGCCGGCATGCAGGAGAGACCCTTGGACGACGGTACCGATACCTCGATGTTCACGTTAAGCCAGCGCTAGGAATTCACGGATCCCTGTCTCCCAAAAAACGGGTGACACTATGCAATGCCGTGGTCAGCACCCCCTGAAAACCGCATCATTACTCTCCTGGCATGAGGCACATGGCACTCATGAGAGGGCAAATCCGTTTCCAGAGGCATACCCCTGTCGCTGCGTCATCCGTGAATCTATTTTGCAACCGGTGTCTCAGCCTTGGTGAGATATATAAGGCTTGACGATTAGCACTGCCTAGAAATTGACAAGTAACAGACAGGTCTGCCACAGTTTCAGCGGTCCAATGACCAATTAATTTTGCCCAACACGAACGCGCCTTCGGGCAATCCCAGAATATATGGGCCAGTGTTTCTTAAACCCCTCGACATGCTTGATGTCTTCGTTGCGATTCTCATGGTAGAGGTTGAGTTTCTTGGTTGATATTCGATAGCAAGTCCGCACCCGGTACTTTGTGAGCCCGTGTGCATGGTCCCACACTTGCGAAGGTCGCTGATGCGCTACGGCTCGCTGCCACTCGTTTGTTCTGGTGGCAGCTTCCAGACGCTGCATCAGTGGCCGTAATGCCACATCGAGCTGACGTTTGTGGAACTCAAATGCCAGTCGGGAAAGTGTTCTGCGAATGGACGCATTTGATACCTCATCTGCGACCGCCCATGGAAACCGATGATGTCGAGTATGAGCGAGCCCGTAATATAGTACGACAATGTAGAAGCATCGGGCATTAGGTGCTGACCCCACAAGCGATCCCTTTGGGCACTCAGTTGAGCTACCTCCTCCACTGTTTGGATGTGCGTTTCTTGGATTCACCACGCTAACGCGCTTTCGTCAGGAGTCTGTCGACGCCACGCCCCGTCCAACAAGCACGAGTGCTTTCTTTGAACCTCGCACGTTTTTTTGGGTAATCATCACCTCATCACCAACCCCGTCACCATTTTTTTTCCTTTTTGGTGTCATGGGAATGAGCCCAATTTTGAATCAAGCGAGCACGTCCATAGGCGTCGACTTCCTTCAATGAATGATTACAAAGACAGGAGAAGAGGTGAATTCGTGAGCTTCCCTCAGTATTCAAGAAGTAACTGCGCCTCCGCAGTTGCCAACTATGTAGATAAAAAAAATGTACGAGTGTTCCCCAGTTCACCCGGGGATCATCCGATGAGTAAAATGCCCCTTAATAGTGACAGTTTCGTCGTATCAGGTGAACATGACCGCGTAGTATATCGGGGATAGTGAGCGTATGTACGTCATCCCCCGTCAATGCACGTATCTCCTTGTCAAACAAATCAGCGCAAAGTAGATGGTGACTTAGACGGATTCGTCGTTGCGGTTTATAGAGCCTTAAGATTTCATCTTTGGCGTAGTTACAGTCTCCTAGTTTCCTCCATTCATCACCGTTGTCAATAAGGAGAGCGAGAGAAGAAGAGGGTTGACTCCACTGCGCGCGAGTAAATCCATTAATATGACCACTGTGAGGTGGTGACATCCTTCGTTCTGAGACAGTATGCTTGAAGACCCGATAGCAGACACTCCTGTCGCCACTTCGATGTCCACTGCACAAGAATCCGATCGGCTAAGCTGGCTAATAATTCATCCGGAAAGACAAAGCGTCGCAGGTGATGAAGCAAAAGATTCGGCTCCATTCACACAGTTTTTAGCCACGCCTCCATTCCATTAGGAATCTCAAGAGTAAGACGCCTCAACTGTGACCGGCCTTTTCGACCCTGAGGCACACCAAACTGCTGGCCACTCCTCACGATCAATCCGTCCGTCTGGAGAAGCTATCACGGACAGTTGAGGACTAACCGTGACTCTGTCATTTTTTTTGCTTAGATGCTCCCAGGGAGCTGGTGTTACTGTCGTCACCCATATCAACCGCTTCTGACTGCGAGGTGACGAGATCTCGTTTTTGCGCCAACACATTCACTGCCATGTAATTATCCCTGAACACCTAGGGAACCGAAGTCGGCTACTAAGAACGCAATACCAATGCATGAATGTTATCTTCCTGGCCAGAGTGAATAAGAAGCGAGGTTGTTTGGCTAGCGCAAGTTAATGGGGCTATATCCTGTTCAGTACTAGATGAAGCCTGCACATGTAGTGCCAATTTTGTAGCGTCAGCTACCGCAGGTAGCTTTGAATGCTGTGACAGCTCTGCGCTCTGGCCGTTAAAGTCATCCGTCAGGGATGTTAGGTCTGCCGCGCTGTCCGTATGTAAGAATGCCAAATAATGGCGCCCCCAGAAACGAAGAACCAACGGCAATGTGTCTGTTACCTCAATTTTAGCCGTTTGCAGATAATCAAAGCAAGCCATAATAGATAGAGGGTATTCCTTGGCCGTGCCGTGCAACTGCACCTTTGTCGGGTGATATCTTAGACAGCTCCACTGCTCGCTCTCATACTCCAAGTGGATGACAAAAAAATCAGGCTGCAGGAGGTAGCGGCCATTACGAGTGTGTCACTACCTCCCCAGCAAGTTTACGAAACTATGGTCTCCCTTTCAGACGGGGTTTCTGCATAGTCTGTTGAAAATTACCGCAGTTGAGTTGCCGACTCCTCTCTGGTCATTGTCTGCCACCCGCGTCCAACATTTTTTAACGTATTGACCCTCAGGTCGTTTAAAAGCTAACCTTCTGGATTTAGCAGCCAAGCGTACATGATACCGCGCTTAGCGCTGTCAATGAGAGGCTACAGGGCCTTGATTGGTGCGTCTAAGGTGGAATTTTCGACGGCTTGAGCGATCGCCATCGCCAAACAATTTTAGTGGCTGGGGGGTCACTTCCCGTAAGCCCAGGATACTCATTACATCTTTTGAATGAATTGTCCCGGTCTATGGACGAGGATCCATCGGGATCGAAGTACAACGTCCTTTCTGTTGTTGTTTAACCAGCCTCTCACAGGTTTTGCGTTCGAGACGTTTTTGGCTAAAACCGTCGGTCCTGAGATCTTGGGAGCTATACCTCTTTGTTTAGAGTCTTGTTGACGGAGTCGATCATCTGACGATAGGTGAGGACCGGCCAGCGTGACGTTCGGAGCCATTTTTGGGTGAAGCTTCGGTGTAATCGAAGGGTCGTCAGTGCAAACGTCTGTGCGAGGAGCTTGAGCGGACCCCGCACTATTCTGCTCCAGCTCCGGCTCCATATCTTGTAGGACGTGATAACCGCCCGAGCTGGGGCTTTCGGTCTTTACCGGTGGCTTGCGTGAGGGCCACAGACGCCGTCCACTTCGGAGAGGACGCATCAGCCAAGGCTGCTCTGGCCAAGATTTCGGTTTAGGATCCGAAGAGCCTGCTTACGTGAGGATGGCAGTGTAAACGGGCTGAATGGGCACCCCAGTGCGCTGGGGCTTCACTGTCGGAGGCGGCCGTGGGGGAGCTGTACCGACTGCCGCCGGTGTAATAGCTGCCTGAGCCGCCTCGTCTGCTGCCCTCTGAAGTTGTAGCCGTTTGCTAGCCATCTTCCGCATCTCCTCTGGGCTAAGGAATGATTTAGTCAAGTTTTTGACGTCTTGAAGCTCAGCCTCTGTGACTTCGATAGCTCATGGCCCTTAGGTTGCGCATCCGTAAATTGGCACCTGGCGGCAGGGTGGCCTATGGTGCCGCACTGTAGACATTGAAGGCTTCGACCCAAGTTTGGGTGCTTACTGATGATCGGGGTTTCAAACCATAGAGGCCATACTATCCCTAAAAAACGTTGGTCATCCCGCCAGAGAGAAGGTAACTTCCATACTGTTGACGTCCGGGAGTTTGGAGTGCAAGTGTCCATATCTTCGAATTCAAAATCAGTCGTGATTTTGGACCTAAAGTAAGCCGCTATGCGTCCAATCTCGTTAAATCGTGTCACGTTCTGCAGGAAAATTGTGTACTCAGTACGTGAATGGCCCGAACGACCATCTGGGCCTCGCTGATTCTGCCAAACTGCCCCCCGCACCGGCTGATGAGCGTTTTCCAACGTGTACAATCGTCCCTGGAAGGGTGTTCGAAAATCCTGCAGACTTTTTGCTGTTTCCCTCGAGAAAACGTAGAGGTGAAGCGTTCGGGATGAGCGAAGACAGCTGATGGCCTTCGTTAGTTCGAGTAAGCGAAGGATATCCGTCATGCTGACCCGTAGAAGCTCAGCGAATTCGGGTTTCATCGCCGTGATACCATTAGGAGTATGTCGGCTGGTCGGTATGGAACGACTTCTGCCAAAAGTAAGAACAAATTGCCCTTCGACCTGCGCCTGGATGGTGCTGTAGAGCCGGAGACGTTCCCCACTATCACGGACGGATTGTAGAAAATCTGGCATCCGACGGCGCGCAACATGTCCTTCAGCTATGCCCACGATAAATAGCCATTCGTCGTCTGTGCCCTCACGTAAGTGATGAGAGCGAGCAGGTCCGAGACGGGCGGTACAAATGTCTCTAAGGTTAGTTGCCTCTGCAGTGGAGTATTTTGCCGGGTCAAACATAAAATCACCATAGACAAGAGACGCTTGCTCCTTATGCCCTTCCTGGAATGGCTGTGCTCCTTGGCGCACAACCCGCGCATAGGTCGGGGCCGGCGCCGTGGACAACTCGTGTTGGCTGGATACTATTCGAAAATCTCTTCAAAGGCCCACTTGGTGAGCAAAATAGATTTGCTTATCTTTATGGCAAGTATAGTCCAATCGATGTATGTACCTGAACTCCGAACAAAACACTGCCGAAATAAAACGAGGAGACCGTCCAACGCCAGACCCTTGAGCTTTGAAAAGCATTTCCGCTCTTGCGGCAGAGCTTCCAAGCTAATCGCAAACAGAGAAACTACGTTTTCAAAAACAGCTCCTGAACGGTCTGACGCCATACATCGACGTACCCCGTCCCGGGTGAGGCCTTCATCTCTTCGAATAATGCGTCAAACATGTCACGGGGGGACGCCTGAGAAGGCGAGGGCGTTGGAAGCCAACGCTCCCGATTGAGTCGATTGGCCAGGTGCGGGGCTCGCGTCGGATCTGATGACAGATTCTCTTCTCCAGCGGGTGGCGAAACTCCGGAGAAAAAAAGAGGAGCCGGGATACGTGCATAAGCTGACGAGTCTTGTGGCGGGGATCTGGTCGATGTGGCACGCTTTAGGTGAGAGTCAATGTAGGTGTCCCATCTGCCTCCGGGGCGACGGTTGGTGCGAGGTGGCCGATCGGATGCGGCGGAATGATCTGCCTATGCTCCCCCGTGACTGGTGCCGAAGGCAGTACTATACTGCCATCACTTTCCAGGGGTGCGATCGACTGAGGTTGGGCCTCCCCTCCACCATTGGGAGGGGGGGGCTTGGTGACGGCTTTGTGTCCGTCGTTCAAAATATTCTGGCTGCGCCAGTGAAGGCCTTTTAATGCTCCCCTACCTATTCACTGCAGATTAAAGAGTGACAGCGGAGACAGCGGAGACAGCGTGCAGCTAGCAGCTTGCAGAACTTCTGAGAAAGGGAAGGGCATCTGTGCGCAGTGTGTAGTGAGATCAAGAGTAGGTTTTGAGATAATATAAATGACATAATACAGTCTGGAAACCCACATCGACTGCGCACTCGTTTCTTCCTTTTGCACGCGGATGCAAAGCCAAAATCTATTGCGCCGTTGCTGTCAATGCACAGGACCGTGTGCTGCCGCGTCTACAAGATCGGTCCTCTTTCCGCGCTTCGGCGCTGCTTCCGCGCGCGCGGTCGCCAGTCAACCAGACGCTGCCGAAAAAACGCTCCGCAGTCCGAACCAATTGAACGTTCTATTGTCCAATCAAACGCCGCCCACGACTTTTGTAGCCACTTGTCGCGCGTTGCGCGCCATTGACGAGACAGCGCTATTGGTGACGATTGACGTCCGGACGTGGAACGTGGCACTGCAGCGACGACCGGAGGCTCAAGGCGAACGCGTGGAAGCGGAGCTCTTGGGCCTAATCGCGAGTTGTAGTTGCGAAAATGCAAGTGTACTCATGTGGACCGATTTGTTTTTTGCAGTGTGACGACAGCGTTTTTTTGCGCGGGTTTCGAACGGATGAGATGCAGGAGCTCTTGAGACAGTTGAAGCGGAGATACGGACCGCAATTTGTAGCCCGCGTGCTCGTAACCGTGGTCAATGGCTGTGCCAATATCAAGATGTTTGCAGATGCTCACGAGCTGCTGCTGTATCAGCAGACGTTGTGGTCGGAGATTCGCTCTGGTACTACTACTACAGACGAGACGTTGACGACGGGGTGGAGCGAGAAGAGTAAAGCGATGATGCCGCCATCAGTGGTTGGCCACTTGATGGCCAAGATGATGCACAAGAAAAAGCATGGTCAAGTGCTGGCGTTTGCACGTGCGTAGTTTGCTAGTGCTGCGTTCGATCCAGTGCGAGATTTCCAGCAACGAGGGTTCCTTGGACTGTTTAAAGCAAGTGTGTACACGCAACAGAGTCCGAATTGTGGTGCACGTGTTTTTGGACTACGTGGAGGGAACGTGCCGTGCAGCAGGAGGCAAGGTGGAGAGAGTGAGGACACGAGTGCTCCAGCGAGGCTTTGGAGCTGCGATTCACTGCTGTGTAAAGCTTGATGAATATTCGCTGGCGCTTCGTTGTTATGAAGTGATGTAAAGCACACGAGAGAGGCTCGGTTGTGCTGGGACGACTTACCGGTGGACGACGCGATCGACGAAGCTGCAGAGAGGGTTGGTATCGTGGATGAAGTGCTGCTAGCTGATGAAATAATTTACGTCAACGTGTTGAAAGCATGTATGGAGATCGAGGATTTCTCCACGTTTAAAGATGTGTTCCGCAGGATGGTAGCTCGAGGTGTAGCACGTAGTGCTGGATTTGGGTCGGCGATCCGTTATTGTCACATGCAGTTGGATCCAACCTTTCTCGAAGAAGTGTTGGACGAGGTATTTTTGACGGAGCAGGAGCTTGCGGGTGCCTGGATGTTAGAGGTAGAAAACTACAATGATGCGCTTGGCTGTTTTGCAGCTACGAATAGGCCGGATCAAGCCAAGGAACTTTTCTCGCACATGCTGAACAACTCGTCGATAGTGCCCGGCATATTACGATGCTTGAGATGGTGGAGAGTCAGTGCAACGCCTCGATCGGGGAGGTGTTTAATCTCATGAACGTGTTTCTTGAGTGGAAGCTAACATCGAATATTCAGGTGTTCACATCGCTCCTGTCCATCTACATGCGCCGTCGTGAAGTAGGCAATGCTGTTGCGCTCATTGGTGCGATGGAAGAGCATGGTGTCGTTCAGCATGTGAAGGCAAGCACGACTGTGGCGTTCATTATGCATCTCGCAGTGACTTAAAGGCTGTGTGTTAGAGGTGGTATCGTGAATGGCCTGCGAGAATGCACGATGATGACCAAGATGATGATGACCAAGACGATGACCAAGACGATGACCAAGATGATTGCGCAAGTACTTTCATTAGTCGGGTTAGTCTGTCCTATCATATAACCCTCCAACAAAAACACATTCTCAATTTTACCTTTGACTCCGCAAACCTCCTCAAGCAAGGCTTGCGGACTGATCACCCCTCTGCAAGCCACGGGTGTGTCATTTTGTTGAATCAAATTTGGCCTATCAAGATCGAGAATCCCGTCGCCTTCAACATGGGACGGAACAATGAAGATGAGTACGTCACGTACACGATCGTGACGTGCCAAGAAAGCACGACCGCACCAGCTGACTTTGCCAAGCTGAAGATTAAATGCTTTCGCGGAGGGTCCGCGAAGGACTGGCACGAATTAAGCATGAAGTTCAAGTGCCTCGCAAAACGAAAAGGCTGGGGTGCTGACCAACTCACCGTTCAACTGCTCACGCTGATCGACGGAGAACTATCGTGCGAGGTCGAGCGCATCCCCAGCGAATCTTCGAAAGATTGGACATACGTTCGAAGACTTCTACCGTGAGGTCGGCTTACTCCTAGTTCCTGCGGATTACAGTGAAGACCTAGATGTGCTATGGAACCTGACCAAGCGCCGCGACGAAACAGTTTAACGCTGCTCGGCACGTCTGCGAGAGCTTGCTCAAATGTACGCCGAGTTGCCGCAGGATGTGCAAACACTTTCGGAAAATCAACTCTGTCGCTACTTTCGCCGAGCTATGCCTCCTAACTGGCAAGACAAGCTTGCATTTTGTGGAATCTCCTACTAAACCATAACAGAGCTTGCGATGTACTTTGAGCGACTCGAAAGGCGCGAAAGACAAATTGGCCGGGAGGGCCAGAATGGTCAAGGAAAGAATGGTAAAAGGGGTCAAGGTCGGCGTGACCAGCAACGCCCGTTCAACGACCGTAATGACCGCAGAGATCGTCGCAACCAGTGCGGACATCGTGACTCACACGAGAATCGTTCTCACAGACGGACTGTGACAGATAACAAAAAGCAAAACGACCGCCATGATGATACTGGTATGTGGTGTAAGTTCCACAAAACAAAGTCTCACAACTCCAGTGAGTGCTTCGCCCTGAAGAAGCAGCGCGAGGAGCACAAGCCAGCTGAGATGCAGAAAACAGTTTCGAGCAAGAACAAGTATCCCAGATTTGAAGAGGAGTCGAGTGACAGTGACAGCGACAGCAACAGTGAGATAAAGCTCGTTGGTCTGGTCGTCAAGAAGCATACTAGCACCAAGCTCGCTCCGTTACGCATCAAGGTTCAGCTCAAGAACGCAAACGGCACCTTTGAAGCGCTACTAGACAGTGGTGCATCAGTGAGCATCATCAACCAAAAGACTCTGCAGGCTAATGTCCAGCTTGGACGTAAAAAGGTCGCATCGTCGACCAAGTTTCAGACGGTAAATGGCGAGGTGACAAGTGATGGCAGTGCAGTCGTTCAGTGTCGATTTGCATCCCTCAAGACTTCAGCCATCATCACTCACAGGTTCGAAATTCTGGAGAAGAGCCAAGATGCTATGGTGATTGGTCGGGACATCATGACTTCATTGGGCATTGTGCTCGAATTCAAGGAAAAGGTTGTTCAGTGGGATGGCCACTACGCGCACCTTAATACCGGTGGGTCACACTCTTTCGAGGTGAGCGATTACGAATTTCTCGAAGAAAGCAAAGAAATTGCTGAAAGTGCAGTCCGACCAGAAGAACTCATGCCCGACACACTACCCAACTCTCTCGTCGACGAATATCATCAGCTTTTTCGTGATAACTAGAGCTTGTAAGATGGTCACTTGGGAAGGATGAGATTCGAAGATTACATCTTGCCTATCTCACCTGACTACAAGCCCGTTCACGCCAATTCATATCCTTTCCCACGTAGCCTCAAAGGAAAGACGCGAGAGCTAATTCAGCATCTGATTAGCATTGACGTGCTGGAGAAGATCTACGATTCGGAAATGGCATCGCCAGCCTATTTTCCGTAAAAACCTAACGGTTACCTGCGTTTACTGATCGACTTTCGTGGGCTCAACCGATTTTTGCAGCGCAGCCCATACTACGTCCCACGTATTCGAGAAATTTTATTACGTCTCGCGGGAGCGAAGTGTCTTTTTACGCTGAATGCAGACATGGGGTACTACGCGCGTCGTCTCGCTACGTCATGCCGTAATTACACTGCCTTCTGCTTACCTTATGGGAAGTTCCAGCACAAGCGGCTCCTAATGGGAATTTTTACGGCGCCGGACGAATATCAAGCGTGCATGGAAAAGATATTTGGTGACCTGGATTTTGTCGTCGTTTATCTGGACGATATTCTCGTTTAATCTAGTAGCGATAAGACTCACCTTAAGCACCTGGGTATCGTGTTCAAGCGTCTGGAGAAGAATGATGTAACGCTAAACGGCAAGAAGTGCCACATTTTACGCGAGTCTGTTGACTATCTTGGCTTCACTCTTACATCCGAGGAGATTCAGCCCCAGCAGACGAAGATTCGAGCAACCCAACAGATCGCCGTACCCGAGACCAGAAAGGAGCTACGCCGCTTCCTCGGGAGATTAATTACTACAGGGACATGGTCCTGAACAAGACGACATTATGCCAGCCACTTAACCGCTTCGCCAGCGCTAAAGTCCCTTTCGGATGGCTACCCAGTGACACGGAAGCGTTTCACGCTATTCAGAAAGCGTTTGCGCGAGCGGTCCTGCTCGCGCTTCCCGATTTCGAGCAGCCATTTCACGTTTATGCGGACGCCAGCGGTAAGCAAATAGGCGGCATCACAATGCAAAGTATTCAGATCCTTGCATGCTACTCGCGAAATCCGAACAAGCACCAAGTGAATTACACTACTCTGGAACTCGAGCTTCTTTCGATCGTGAGAAATTTTGCGCGAATACCGCACCATGTTGCTCGGTTTTCCTGTGGTCGTTCACACCGACCACAAGAACCTCTTACATCCTACCGAAACCAGCCTGATAGTCAAGCGCTGGAAGCTTCTACTCTCGGAGTACCGCCTCTCGATGCACTACATCAAGGGGGCCAAAGGTGTTGGTGCTGACGCTTTTTCGCGGATGCGATTTAACAACTTAGAGACAAAGTTTAAGTTGCAGCTTGCGGAGGAGGTTTGTTCGACGACGGATGAGCCAGACTGTGTCATGCATGGTCCTGTCCTACGAGAGCTCCAAGAGAAAGACGCCATGATCCAAAAGATCAAGAATTCCTGCCTTAAAGGCAACAACAACCCCGACTACCAGCTCATACCGCTACTCGGCTGCACACTGGTTGCGTACCAAAAGCTCGTCATTGTGCCCGACAGCCTGCGCAATTACCTAATTAATTGGTACCATTTGAGTCTCAGCCACCCGGGAAGTGAACGCCAGTACAAAACGATGAGACAGGTGCTTTACTGGCCCGGCCTGGAAGCCGCTATAAACAAGGAGACGAAGAATTGTCTCGTTTGCAAGAAGGCAAAGGTACATGGAGGCAAGCAAGACTACGGATTATTGCCACCTCGGACACTCAAGACAGTGAACCCTTTCGACTCGGTTCACGTTGATTTAATTGGTCCCTACGAGGTTGAATTTTATGGCATCACAATGGTCGATTACGCCACGCGTTGGCTGGAAGTGGGTATCCAGCCTGATAAAGTTCTCTGACCACAGCCGAGAGCTTCGATCGTGAATGGCTTTGCAGATACCCGCGTCCAGTAAAAGTCATTCATGACCAAGGGACGGAATTTACGGATGAAGAGTTTCAGGAGATGCTGCGCAGCTACGGAATTCAGTCAAAGCCCATCACAAGCAAGAACCCACAAGCAAATGCGATATGTGAGTGCGTGCATTAGGCGATTTTGAATGTCATCCGATGCTACGACGAAATTGACTGGAAGAATAACATACACTACGCTGCGTTCGCCGTGAGAGCCAGCTATCACAGCATTCTCAATGCTTCGCCAGGTCAGCTTCTCTTCGGACAAGACATGATCACTCGCCAGCTTTACAATGCTAACTGGAGCTACCTATTTAAACGCCGTTTCGATGCAATCCTCGCTGACAACGACCGCGAAAACAGCAAACGCCTTGAGCATTCTTACAATGCAGGCGATCACGTGATGCTGCGAATTCCCGAGCAATTTCGTGCGAAGCTTCACGCCGTGGCACACGGACCGTTTCTAATACGTGCAATTCATGACAACGGAACTGTCACAATAGACAAGGGCAAAGCGACCGAGCGGGTGAGAAACCGCCGCATTTTTCCATGCTGATTCTCACAGATCATGGAGGGAGTATGACACAGGTGGTATCGTGAATGACCTGCGAGAACACAAAATGATGACCAAGATGATGATCAAGCTGATGATGACCAAGACGATGACCAAGACGATGACCAAGATGGTTGCGCACGTACTTTCATTAGGTGGGTTAGTCTAGCCTACCATATAACTCTCCAACAAATAAACATTCTCAATTTTACCTTTGACTCCGCAAACCCCCTCAAGCAAGGCTTGCGGACTGATCACCCCTCTGCAAGCCACAAGTGTCATGTGGAAGACGTTTTACGAGACATGGCAAGTCAAGGTGTTGCTACCGAGACAGGATGGCAGGATGTTCGTTGACTACGTCCTCAACGCACTGTACGGGTCGTGCGGTATCGACATGTATTTCTCGCGCTTGCGTGAGCTGAGTGCAAACGAGCTGGCGATTCCAGACGGGCTGTACATCTCGCTAATTGATCTCGGCACCACGATTGTTTTGATTGAGCGCACGCTGCAGATTGCGTACAACATGGAGTGCGACGGCTACCATCTCTCATCGAAGCAGTCGCACGCTTTGATGATGCGTTGGCACTCGGACGGCGAGATTTCGGAGTTTGTGCGGACGTTTGTGCTGTTACACCAGGGCGTGCCGCCCCAGACTCCGCGCGTTGAGGTGGAAATGTATGAAGATTTTTTAGCGGAGCTACACAGCTCCTTAAGTCAGAGGAAGACTTAACGCTCTACGAGCAACTTAGTTCTAAAGAACTAACGACTTTACGAGTCAACAAGCTTTATAGCTTCAGATCCCTGTTCCAGGGGACCTAACGATTCAGTGAATCGACAGCACTTAGTGCTCAAGAGTAGCTACCTCAGGGAGGTGTCGCTAACTCTTAGTGATCAGAGATCAACGATCAAGACGGCTCGCAAGCCACGTGTCTTTCAGATCAAAATGGGAACTGATTTTATTTTTGTTAAAGCCTATAGAATATCTTCATCCTACTCAAAGATCTTTCGTATCTAATGGCTGACACTCGTCAGCCCCTACAAACCGATAAGATATTCTATATTACCTTCGCAGAAGCGAACCCTCAGATGTGTAACACCTCTGGTACAAAGTACCGTGATTTCGTGCAACCCCGTTACACCCTCCCCCACCAGACTGACGTTTGCCAAAACGTCAATCGAACTCGTGTTCTCAGCGAGAACAGTGCGCGTACGGTGAACCTCACGGTAACGTACGCTCCAGCACGATGTCCTCATCACCAAACGAGTCAAAGGCTCTGTGTGACTACCTCGGAATAGAGGAAGAGGTGGACTATGGTAGCGATACCAGTGTCCGCGGTGACACAGGGACAACGTCCGGCTCACTGATGCCTGAGGCACAACTTTCGAACACACCAAATCCGTTCGCTGAACGTGGAGGTGCGAGCGCGCCGTCAGCGCAGCATGCAGCATCTGGTTCTGATGAGACTATCATCGCGAACCCGCTCGATGAGCAACAACAACTGCTTGTTCAAAGAGAAGAAAACGCTCAGCGTTATGCACAGATGACTGCAACCCTTGAACGCCAGCGTGACTATGTGTTCACCCCACCCAGTGTGGAGGAACGTCTGCGTCAAGCGGCCGGCCAAACATTGGCAACGTGGGTCATTGGCCATGGGCCTAAGACTCCTGAGGAGGTGGTGAGCTGCCAGGCACTTCGTGAGAGGTACTTGGAGCCGCACCTAACGACTCAAAGTCAATACAAGGCACGCCTTGACATGCAAGCACGTGGTGCACCAGTTCCACCGATGAAGGGTATACCCATTCTCCTGCTCGCAGGCGAAACAGCGAGTGAAGAAGACGATGCCTTTGTTCACTGGGTGCACTATGTGCGTCGCCTCAGCAACATTTTTGCTCTAAGGGCTAGTGCCCATGCGGCGGATGTGCGTCTCGAACGCAAGCTTCGGTATGATTATGCCAAGCTAAAGGCCAGAGGCCAATTGCGCAAGCGCACGCGCTATGCTTCGGCTACTAAGGTAGCCGCGAGTGCTGGTCAGTCTGTGGCCAACAACCCGCCAACCCGCACCACTAGTGGTGGTGAACGGCCTCGGCCTCGAGCTGACCTTGGCCACGATGCTCAAAAGCCTCCAAAGCATATGGGCAGTCTTGCCGAAGGGGTACCTCAAATTCCCATGAGTTTTCAGACTCAGGGTACCCACGCCACTTTACCAGATACTGGTATTGGCCCTGACGACGACGTCGTTTCAGTAGTCTCTCGACATGGAATTGACGACACCCATGCTCATCGAGCAAAGTCGGTGGCGGCCGGTGCACCGGTGGAGGCCCACGAGAAATTGGTTCTCGAAGTGAAGGGTCTTCAAGAGGCCTTGGGTAAGTCCCAGTGCATGCTGGATGCGATGCAACGCCGCCTTCAGGCGATGGAGCAAGCTCAAACTCGGAGCGAGGCTCAGTTGGACTTGCTGATTCGTCTACAGCAATCCGGGGCAGTGCCCTTGTCGTCGGCGCAAGCGCCTCCAAGTTCACATGGGAAGGATCCCGGTACGGCTTAAGTAAGCCTACGTAGAACACTGGATGTGTGCGCAATTTGCGCGGGAGGTTTAGCGTATACGCAAGTCCCTTCTTGGCCGTGACCGTAAACGGTCCAATAAAGCGTGGACGCAACTTTGTCTTAAAGACAGCAGACACTACATTTGTAGGTAGATTTTTAGCATTGAGTAGTACTTGGTCTCCGACCTCATAACGTTCAATACAATTTCTGCCTTTGGCATCAGCTTGTTGTTTTTGGGTATCTTGGCTATCAGCCATTGCGTCACGCACATGTCTTAAGACATTTAATCGCGTTGCGAGAAACTCGCCTACCTGTTTTTGAACAGTAGCAGGGCTGATATCAGCAAGCCGATCGGCAACCTCTCCCCCACCAAGCCCTGAATCACGTAGTGATAGCGTTAACGGAACGCGAGGGTGAGTGAGACCGTTTATATAGAACGGAGTAAAGCCTGTTGAGGCATGCACAGCGTTATTTAACGCAAACTCAACAACAGGGAGCATTGAGCTCCAACGCCTAGGCGTATCAGCGCAAACACTGCGCAAAATGTCGTTAATGACGCGGTTTACACGCTCAGTTTGACCGTCGGTCTGCGGATGATCCGCTGTGGACATGTCCAACCGAGTGCCAAGCACCTTGAAGATAGACTTCCAAAACTTCCCAGTGAAGCGGGGGTCTCTGTCAGAGATAATTGCCACAGGCAAGCCATGTTGGCGAAAGACACGGTCGATAAACAGCTTTGCTGTACCTTCCGCATCAATGCTATCCGGCACAGCCGCTAAGTGAGCCATCTTGCTCAATCGGTCAACAAAGACCACAATACCAGTGTTGCCTTCCGAATCTTTCGGTAGACCAAACACAAAATCCATGCTCATGGACTCCCAACAACCAGTGGGAACAGGCAAACTAGCCAGCGGCGCCGCCGCATGTGCCGAGGGTTTTACCCGTTGACACGTTTCGCACGTACGCACATAGGTGCGCACCCACTTATAAAGTTTGGTCCACCAATAATTTTGGCTCACCGAGCTATAAGTCTTCTCACGACCGAGAATGACCACTTAAAGCAGTATCATGTGCCTCATAGAGGATCCGATACTTTAATTCCTCATCATGAGGTACTACGATACGAGGGTTGTCCTCAATATCCGTGCGATAGCACAACAGGCCATTATCAATGGAATATCGATGTAGCCTCGCACGTAAACGTGCCGACAATTCTATGTCCGAGTCTTTAAACTCATTGCTCCCAAGAGCTCGTAGCAAAGCTACACACTGATCGTCCTTGGCATATGCCGCACGAATTAAGTCAGGGACTGACGACGACAGGGTCGTAACATGAGCAAGCTCATAGTCAGGTCGACGCGATAGCGCATCAGCCAAAGCGTTTTGCTTACCTGGCTTGTACTTCACCTCGAAGTTGTATTCGGCAAAGAAAGAAAGCCAACGAGCCATTCTCTGTGAGAGGTGAGGCGACTGTGTCGCAGTGCGCAATGACGCATGATCGGTATAGATCACAAATGGCTTCGAGCCAAGCAGATGGACTCTGAACTTGACAAGAGCGTACTTCATAGCAAGTAGCTCTTTGTCATGAACAGGATAGTTCTTTTCAGCAGCTTTCAGCTGTCGAGATTCAAATGCGATGACGCGTTCGCGTCCGTCGACATCTGTTTGTAACAGAGCACTGCCTATGGCAAAGTCAGATGCGTCACAGACGACACTGAAAGGCCGACCAGAATCGGGCAAAGCCAATATTGGCGCATGAAGGAGACTCTCCTTAACTGCTTCAAAAGCTTTATGTTCGGTGTTACCCCAACACCAACCCACATCCTTTTTAAGGAGATTGGACAATGGCCGAGCCATATCTGCGTAATTTGCACTGTACTTGTGTAAGTAATTGGCAAGGCCAAGCCACTTACGCAAGTCCTTTTGGTTCTTGGGGACTGGCCAATCGACTATGGCTTTTACCTTAGCGGGATCCGCTCGAAGGCCTCGCTTCCCAATGAAGCACCCTAGAAAGGGAATCTCTTCTGCACCAAAGATGCACTTCGATGCGTTCGCATACAGCTTATTCGTTCGCATGCACTCGAGCACAGCTCGTAAATGATCAATGTGGTTATCCACATCTGATCGCCCATTCATTGCACGACTATGGACAAAAATGTCATCAAAGTACGTTTGTGCATAGCCTCGATGAGGTCTGAATAGTTGCGTTACCAACCGGTTAAATGTAGCCGGGGCGTTAGATAGCCCTTGCGGCATAACGAGCCACTCCCAAAGCATACCGCTCGGAGTACTCACCGCTGTTAGCGGAATATCGCTTGCTCGCATGAGCAGTTGGTAATAACCATCGACTAAGTCGAGTGCACTGTACAGTGTACATCCCGTCATATTGTTCTGAAGAACATCCTTTCTAGGAATAGGCGTCTGCGCCGGTATAGTGGCTGCATTAAGCTTATTGTAAGCATGCACAATACGCCACTTGCCATTTGGCTTTTTGACACAAAATGTCGGTGTTGAATGGGGAGATTTACTCTCACGAACCATTCCAGCCGCGTGCTTAGCACGAAAGAAATCGTCAATGACGTCGCACTGTTCTTTAGGCAAAGGCCACTGCCGTGTTACACAGTATTTAGTTCCAGGAACCAAGTCAATCTCATGACGTACACCTCTATCTGGAGGTAAGGCAGAAGGTGGGTTGTGACACACCACATCTTGAAATTCCTTGACTAAAGGATAGAACGGATCCAAAGGATCTTTAAGGATCGAAGATCCACTTCGTGCACTAAGTGCCGCCTTTGTATCCTCTAGGACAGACTCATCCATTATCGAGGAAGAATTCAATTCAGTATCAGGTCTAATGACCGCTAACTCGGATAACTCTCCTGCCTTCAAGGCCTGGCTAAATTCGCCATCAGACATTTCGTCTAGCTCACACAGAGCGTCCACGGATGGAAGGGTTTCAAGGCAAACACTGCCATCAACCTGACCAGTCACTCCATTAACAAGTGTATATAGTGTATTGCTAATCTCACAATGTGACTGTGAGGACGCCTGGCGCTTTACAGCTGCTACTCGGCGTCTCGATTGTCTCTTCGAGACCTTACTCCCCTTAGGGGTCGGGACAATATTGTCCCCATGGTTACTACCAACCATAGTACGCTCTACACGAGAGCTTTTGTCTTGACCAA